AAGTTGAGTTTTACGTGTACATATGTTTACAGATCTAGCTTACCTGTATACAAACTGTTTGTTACCTCCCTTTCAGACATATGCACTCCGACTTGGTAGGACATTCTTAGTTGGCTTTGACGACATTGTTCTGAACTCAACAAGGTGGAATGATATCGGTCAATGATACAGATCTAGAGCTGTACCTGAAACTGCCACACACACACATTTGTTTAATTGCAGAATAATGTTTTGAAGTTTGAACAACTGGTAGTACACTGGTAGTAACCCATAAGTGCTCTGTTCTACTTCTAAATCAAGCCTGAGTCTGAAGCAGCTCAGCGCAGTGCACGAACTCTGTGCCATCGGCGTTGATCCCGAAATATTTTAGATAGATGTTCAACTCGAAATTTTGCCCAAGCAGCGCCGTTAGGCTACCCTTTTTTTTTATTTCCAACTGCCAAGGGATTTTTTTACGTGCGGAGCAATACACACGGGCGTCTGATCTCACTAGGAAAAAGTACTAGAAGACCACGAGAACAGAAAAAAATCACAGCCTTTACTGGGGCCTGAACCCGGGACCTCTAGCACTCGAGGCGGACACCATACATTGAGATCACTCAGTCCCCTAAGTGCACAGTGAAAGTAGATAATACAAATGATAATGCCCGGTCACTAGTAGAGCTGCCTAGGTTAATTTTTTCAAAGCAATTCACCAAACACCGCACAAGATAGATTTTCACCATTTCTGTTGCAGTTTTAAGTTTCAGAAATAAAAGACGCAAAACCCTATTTCATTTAACATCGGCGTCGTGAAGTCGGCGGAAGATGGCGCGGTTTTTAACAAACTAATCTCTAAGAACAAGAATTACATCTATCGATCAACACAGAATCGACATAACAATGTACACTTCCTTGATTATTCCCATTTCTAGCACAGGATTCGATTCCCTAAAAGAAAAAAAAAAAAGAAAAAAAAAAAAAACACTTTAGAAATTAAAAAAAAAAAACACACACAATGAGTCCGCCATTTTGAGATTACCACACTTTTTTTGCAACAAGTTATTTTTCTTCAAAATATTAGAATTTTAAGCTATTTACTTAAAACAGACCAGAAAAAGGGAGCCATCGTCGTGTAGTTGCCAGATGCTTACCTGGGAAACCGAAGATCGTGGGTTCAAAAATGAACATAGCTTCCAAAACATTGAGTCGTACACCCATTTGGGCACCAATGTAGATGATACAGATGTGGGAGCAACAAAATTATTGATAAACTGGATACAAAAGGCAAGAGGAGCACTATGAAATCTGTGGAGGTCAAAAGAAATTTAAAAATAAACTAAACTTAAAGTATCTAATACTAATGTCAAATCAGTAGCGTCAGGTTTTGAAGAGGAGTTAGGTGCAAACCTTGGTATGTGCTGCGTAGAAGCTGGTATTTACGACCTCGGATTTTCCATCTATCCATTGCTTGCATGGTCGACCTCTAGTCCTACGTTGTGTCTTAGTGATTCGGCTCTTTGTTGTTCACTATCTGGTGGTAGACTTGTGACATGTCCTTTTGGTATGTTGTCTCTTGATGAAGTGTAGCACTGGTTTCACCCGCGGCTGGTTTTCAGATAAAGTAATATCTGATCTTATCTATTGTAGTTACATTTATGATTCGTCGTAGACATTTCATTTCTGTTGTTTCAATTTTTTCAATTCACCCCCCCCCCCCTCCAACTTCTGTTCTTAGCTAGATATGTAAATGTAGTTGAAACTCCACGGAGGAGCGAGCCTAACAAGAACTGAACCAAACTCAAGTGCTGAAACAAAGCCAAAGTTCTGATGTGGACGAACTACCAGTACTTTACGCCAAAGTTTCCCCCAAAAGTTGTGTATCACAGCTCTATAAATCTCAGTCACAAACTACTACTGTATCACAGCTCTATAAATCTCAGTCACAAACTACTACAGTATCACAGCTCTATAAATCTCAGTCACAAACTACTACAGTATCACAGCTCTATAAATCTTACTTCACAAGAAAACTTGACATAATGTACATGTAGGTTCACTAATGTAAGTGTTCTCAGAAGAGACATTAGATACTCGTGGAGAAGATCAACTCAGTATTTAGTTTTTGCACAACTATGCAATTACGAGACCCGCCAGGACAGAACTAGGCCACAGTAACACTTGATGTTCTGGGAGCTACAATTTGGGCGATGTTTACCAGTGATCTCCTTAAATGTGTGTTCAGTTGTAACTTTGCGATACATTTAGTTCCCCCGCCCCCTTTTCCCCCCACGAAAGATGTGACGGAAATTTGCTACATGATTGATGAGCAGGGTGTTTTTCATTACAAATATTTGTATAGGTGTGTATAATCAAGAATTTAGATTGATTTGTAGTCTTGTATAGTCAGGAACATTGATCTATGGTGGAATCATTGGTAGACTGACGTTTAGCGGGATATCACACGTGAGCTGTGTGTGTGTGTGTGTGTGAAAGAGAGGAAAGGGGGAATATAAGAGAGTAGGGGAGAGGCTGCTATCTAGAATACGTCAGTGACGTGATTTCGTGTATTCATTCATATCTGTGGATTTGATTTTGTTGACTTATGTCATGTGCTGGTAAAGGCTCCGTAGCGGCAATGTTTACTTTCGTCTGTGTTTGTTATATTGTGAAGCTCGATAGTTTAATTTTTGTTTGGTTTTATATCTTTTCGTGGACCTATACAAGGCATACTCAAAATATGAAAGTGCAGAGAGCAGGAGGTAGGCCAAGAATACAACGGAAAGGTAACATGGGATAATTTTACAATAGCATGATATGTTTATGGTCAATGCGGCCAGAAGAGCACAACCCACATCCTTATTTCTTCCTCGACACCTGAAGCAGTAGCACTATGAAACAAAGAAGCAGAACGGGGCTAACCACTAGCCAACGTCTTACCACGATTCACATTTTAGAATAAGTAGCTAATACAAGTGGTTTTCCTTGTGGTATGCAATTTTTTGTAAGCCCCACCTTGGCTTGTACCGGGGGCCCTAACAATAGACGGGCGATAAATATAGCCTAACGACTGAACAGGGTTTCGGGGCCTCTCCACGGGTGATCCTCATCCCCATGGTGGCACTTGGTGTCACCGGGTGTTTATCGCTCTGGGTGATGTCCTGGTGGAGTACAATTTACCTTGCCTTCAGAATAACCTCTTCACAGAATAAAAGCAGCCAAGATGTAACTATGATTTCTAGGCAAAATAAGAAAATCTCTAAATGTGTGAACGATTGTATGACCCCGGAGTCCCAGACATTGTACCGGAAGACAACATTGTGTAACGTACTGTGCCACCTCAAACTGGGGACCTGACTAGTGGTGTGATCTCTTATATTTATTAAGACTGATGGATGTATGATTCTAATGGATAAATAATACTGAAAGTGGAATAGTAGAAACAGAGAAGATATTAAAGTGTGAACGAAAAAAATGAAAGCATTTGGAATAGAAACTGAATTTAGAGAACTAGAAGAAACCAATAAAATAAGGAGGCAACACTAAAAATAAATAATTGAATGAAAAGGAAAAACAGAAGAATACGAAGAGAAGGGAGCAGAAAGTAAGAGGTGGAAGAAGAAGAAAAAGCAGAAAAAGAAGGAGGAGAAAAAGAAGAAGAAAGAGGAGGAGGAAACGAAGAAGAAGAAGAAGAAGAAGAAGAAGAAGAAGAAGAAGAAGAAGAAGAAGAAGAAGAAGAAGAAGAAGAAGAAGAAGAAGAAGAAGAAGAAGAAGAAGAAGAAGAAGAAGAAGAAGAAGAGGAAGAAGATGATGAAAACTCAGGTAGGGGAGCGAAGAAGCAAAAGAAAAAAACAAAGAGGACGAAGGAATGAAAAAAATACGTAGACAAGTAATAATAATAGTAATATAAAGAAAGCATTTACAAACATTTTTAAAACAGCGATTCGTCAAAGTCTTTGCAAATGCGTATTCCTCTGTCCATTATTTTTCACTATTTTTTTTTTTTTTTTCTCATTAAATATTTAATTATAAACAAAATTTGCTAAGAGAGACATTAAAATATGCTTTCAGTTACAACTTTTTATTTTCACTTCCAATGGGTTGCTCTTTTTTAGGACGTATTCAATCACTTTTTTTTATGATACCTTTGGCGAGATTATTTTTGTAGATTATTAGTTAATTTTATCATAACATTCTCTGTCATTTAATTATTGTTTGGGAATAACTGATAATGTAAATGCATTATTAATGAACATTAAAAAAAATGTATAATGATATTTAATAGTCAAACGATCAACTCTGGTGTACTGTTTACCTGTCAGTTTGCTTCGCCGAATGTTGTAGGTTGTTTTCCGACTTTGTTTTTCGGATTGCTAATGCAAATGTTCTTTAAATCCTTAAAATATTTTAGGAATTGCAGATTTTCGCATTGCGTGCGACGTTCTCGGTAATCGATAAACAGTTCTGTCAGAATAGATGGACTCATTTTGGATAAACCCAAAATGACAGAGCTCGATCCTCCTACCTTTAACCACCCCTTTTGAACATGGAGGAGCCAGGGTCAGTTTGATTTTAAAGGCATAAATTGTGCCGTCCGATGTTATGTCATGATAAATTATGCCGTCCGATATTATGTAATGATAAATTGTGCTGTCCGCTGTTTTGTAACGATAAAGTGTGCCGTCGCTGTGAGATAATGATAATTTGTGCCGTTCGCTGTTTTGTAATGATAAATTGTGCCGTCCGCTGTTATGTAATGATAAATTGTGCCGTCTTATGTTATGTAATGATAAATTGTGCCGTCCGATGTTATGTCATGATAAATTGTGCCGCCTGATGTTATGTAATGATAAATTGTGCCGTCGCTGTTTTGTTATGCTAAATTGTGCCGTCTAATGTTATGTAATGCTAAATTGTGCCGTCCGATGTTATGTAATGATAAATTATGCCGTCCGATATTATGTAATGATAAATTGTGCTGTCCGCTGTTTTGTAACGATAAAGTGTGCCGTCGCTGTTAGGTAATGATAATTTGTGCCGTTCGCTGTTTTGTAATGATAAATTGTGCCGTCCGCTGTTATGTAATGATAAATTGTGCCGTCTTATGTTATGTAATGATAAATTGTGCCGTCCGATGTTATGTCATGATAAATTGTGCCGCCTGATGTTATGTAATGATAAATTGTGCCGTCGCTGTTTTGTTATGCTAAATTGTGCCGTCTAATGTTATGTAATGCTAAATTGTGCCGTCCGATGTTATGTAATGATAAATTATGCCGTCCGATATTATGTAATGATAAATTGTGCTGTCCGCTGTTTTGTAACGATAAAGTGTGCCGTCGCTGTTAGGTAATGATAATTTGTGCCGTTCGCTGTTTTGTAATGATAAATTGTGCCGTCCGCTGTTATGTAATGATAAATTGTGCCGTCTTATGCTATGTAATGATAAATTGTGCCGTACGATGTTATGTCATGATAAATTGTGCCGCCTGATGTTATGTAATGATAAATTGTGCCGTCGCTGTTTTGTTATGCTAAATTGTGCCGTCTAATGTTATGTAATGCTAAATTGTGCCGTCCGATGTTATGTAATGATAAATTATGCCGTCCGATGTTATGTCATGATAAATTATGCCGTCCGATATTATGTAATGATAAATTGTGCTGTCCGCTGTTTTGTAACGATAAAGTGTGCCGTCGCTGTTAGGTAATGATAATTTGTGCCGTTCGCTGTTTTGTAATGATAAATTGTGCCGTCCGCTGTTATGTAATGATAAATTGTGCCGTCTTATGTTATGTAATGATAAATTGTGCCGTCCGATGTTATGTCATGATAAATTGTGCCGCCTGATGTTATGTAATGATAAATTGTGCCGTCGCTGTTTTGTTATGCTAAATTGTGCCGTCTAATGTTATGTAATGCTAAATTGTGCCGTCCGATGTTATGTAATGATAAATTATGCCGTCCGATATTATGTAATGATAAATTGTGCTGTCCGCTGTTTTGTAACGATAAAGTGTGCCGTCGCTGTTAGGTAATGATAATTTGTGCCGTTCGCTGTTTTGTAATGATAAATTGTGCCGTCCGCTGTTATGTAATGATAAATTGTGCCGTCTTATGTTATGTAATGATAAATTGTGCCGTCCGATGTTATGTCATGATAAATTGTGCCGCCTTATGTTATGTAATGATAAATTGTGCCGTCGCTGTTTTGTTATGCTAAATTGTGCCGTCTAATGTTATGTAATGCTAAATTGTGCCGTCCGATGTTATGTAATGATAAATTATGCCGTCCGATATTATGTAATGATAAATTGTGCTGTCCGCTGTTTTGTAACGATAAAGTGTGCCGTCGCTGTTAGGTAATGATAATTTGTGCCGTTCGCTGTTTTGTAATGATAATTTGTGCCGTCCGCTGTTATGTAATGATAAATTGTGCCGTCTTATGTTATGTAATGATAAATTGTGCCGTACGATGTTATGTCATGATAAATTGTGCCGCCTGATGTTATGTAATGATAAATTGTGCCGTCGCTGTTTTGTTATGCTAAATTGTGCCGTCTAATGTTATGTAATGCTAAATTGTGCCGTCCGATGTTATGTAATGATAAATTATGCCGTCCGATGTTATGTAATGATAAATTGTGCCGTCCGCTGTTTTGTAACAATAAAGTGTGCCGTCGCTGTTAGGTAATGATAATTTGTGCCGTTCGCTGTTTTGTAATGATAAATTGTGCCGTCCGCTGTTATGTAATGATAAATTGTGCCGTCTTATGTTATGTAATGATAAATTGTGACGCCTAATGTTATGTAATGATAAATTGTGCCGTCCGCTGTTATGTAATGATAAATTGTGCCGTCTTATGTTATGTAATGATAAATTGTGCCGTCCGATGTTATGTAATGATAAATTGTGCCGCCTGATGTTATGTAATGATAAATTGTGCCGTCCGATGTTATGTAATACTAAATTGTGCCGTCCAAAGTTATGTAATGCTAAATTGTGCCGTCCGATTTTATGTAATGCTAAATTGTGCCGTCCGATGTTATGTAATGTTTAATTGTGCCGTCCGATGTTATGTAATGCTAAATTGTGCCGTCCGATGTTATGTAATGATTAATTGTGCCGTCCGATGTTATGTAATGCTAAATTGTGCCGTCTGATGTTATGTAATGCTAAATTGTGCCGTCCGAAGTTATGTAATGCTAAATTGTGCCGTCCGATGTTATGTAATGATTAATTGTGCCTTCCGATGTTATGTAATGCTAAATCGTGCCGTCCGATGTTATGTAATGATTAATTGTGCCGTCTGATGTTTTGTAATGCTAAATTGTGCCGTCCGATGTTATGTTATGATTAATTGTGCATTCTTATGTTATGTAATGATAAATTGTGCCGTCCGATGTTATGTAATGATTAATTGTGCCGTCCGATGTTATGTAATGATAAATTGTGCCGTCGCTGTTTTGTTATGCTAAATTGTGCCGTCTGATGTTATGTAATGTTAAATTGTGCCGTCCGATGTTATGTAATGATAAATTGTGCCGTCTTATGTTATGTAATAATAAATTGTGCCGTCTTATGTTATGTAATGATTAATTGTGCCGTCCGATGTTATGTAATGATAAATTGTGCCGCCTGATGTTATGTAATGATAAATTGTGCCGTCGCTGTTTTGTTATGCTAAATTGTGCCGTCCGATGTTATGTAATGTTAAATTGTGCCGTCCGATTTTATGTAATGAGAAATTGAGCCGTCCGATGTTATGTAATGATAAATTGTGCCGCCTGATGTTATGTAATGATAAATCGGGCGGTATCCACATTGGAGGTGCGCTGCAGTGCACTCATTTATGTTTTTCGTCATGTTATGCTGTAAAGCCCCAATCTCATCTACGTAGCGACTGTAGTACCCCTTTCACAATGCCACCAGAAGCTAGATAAATCATTTGACACGAATATGGCACCCTGGTGCATTATGCATTGAACTGTGTGCAATGGTACTGCTAATTTCTAGGCCAACAAATAGCACACTCCCATTGCTGTGCTAGAAACAAAAAAAATCTTCACGTTCAACAATCATTCTTGAAGGGGAAGCTTTAAGTTGTAATTGTGACTAGGTTATGTTGGTCATATAAAATGGCTTAGGGTCATATAATATGGGTTAGCATTGCTCACTATCAAAAGCACCGAAATGGACTTATGTAGTATTGATGCGATCAAAGGAGACTGACCCAAATACTGTCCCGAAAACCACAAAGTGGTATACAGGCAAGCTCTTGGTCGACCCGGTCGCCGATATGAATCCCACAACTGACTGTAAAACCGTTTATCTCAAACTGCAAAATTAGCCGCTAGCGTTTCCCTTGGAGGCTTCTGTTTCCAAACACAAAGCACGCAGTGAACTCTGATTATTTCCCCTTCATTCATAATACATTGGATGCTTTCATAGATGTTTTGCCATCACGTTAACTATGGAGATTCTGATAATGTTTGTGTTTCGTGTGTGTGCCAGGACAATAGTGGATATGTGCATATAGTGCTGTCATTATCTCTTTAAGCGGAGAACTAACGAAAGAACCTTATTTCAAAAGGGTTAATAATTGAGCACTCAGACTGGTTTAACATTCTTTCTTTATTATTTCCAATCCTCTTCTACACACTAGTTTCTTCATACAAGCGTTAACAGTTAATGATTAAATGTGTCAATAACAGTTTAATATTGAATATAAGCGAAGGAAATGTTCTCGAATTAAAGCTACATTACTAACCATAGCAAGCTTTAGTTATTGTAATAAATCTAGAGAGAAAATAGGCTATGTTTTAGAGACTTTTATCTTTTAAGGGAACATGAAACCTGTGTTGAGATAATATTAGTTGGTTAAACTGACTTCGTGGGGACCTGGTGACAAACTCCTTGTGGTCTGTGTTCAGCCCGCGGTAGGCAGAAAAGCTAATTTTCCCCCAGATTTACAGTATATGTCATGTAATCAAGGCCATAGGGTTACGATATCTATAGTACCGAAACAAAGGATAAACAACTTATGGTTTTTGTATATATATATATATATATACGTCGGCTCTGTGGCTAAGTCGATGCGAACGCAATGACAAACTACTGGACGTAAATTTGCCTAGAAAAACCACACAACAGCCAGGGGCTGTTAGGGTTGGTTCTGCAACGTCCTGTAAAGGATAAGCAACCAACTTACACAAACATATATATATATATATATATATAAGGAGATTGTATGTATAGTGGCTAGTGGTACTGCTGATTTGTTGTTGTACGAGATGCTTGTTAGTGAGGCAGTGGGTCTATTCTATTTTCCTAAAATACAGGAGGCCGAAATGAAAGACATAACTTTCAGAGGACCAGTCCAACAGCTTACCTAATTCACCTAAAAAAGATCAGTGCCTAACAAAGTAGTCTATAAAATAACGGCTTTTCCACTTCACCAAAGAAATCTCTGAATAATGAAAAAGTCTGTAACATAACGGCTTATCTACTTCACCAAAGAGATCTCTTACTAATAAAAATAAAGTCTGTAAAGTAACATCTGACCTACTTCACCAAAGAGATTTCTTACTAATAAAAAAAAGTATGTAAAGTAACGGCTTACCTACTTCACCAAAGAGATCCCTTACTAATAAATAAATTATGTAAAGTAACGACTTATCTACTTCGCCAAACAAGATCCCTTACTAATAAAATAGTCTGTAAGTAACGGCTTATCTACTTTATCATAAAGAACCATGACTAATGAAGTAGTCGGTAACGTAACGGCTTATTACTTTATATATATATATAAAAAAGATCTATGACAAATGAAATGGTCTGTAAAGTAACAGCTTATCTATTTCACCATAAAGATACCTGACTAATGGAGTAGTCTGTAAAATAACAGCGTATCTACTTCACCATAGAGATCCTTTACTAATGAAATAGTCTGTAAAGTAACTGCGTATGTACTTCACCAAAAAGAGCTCTGACTAATGAAATAGTCTGTAAAATAAAGGCTTACCCACTTGACCAAACAGATCCCCTACTAATAAAACAGTATGTAAAGTAAAAAATAAAGGGGGGGGGGGGGGGGGGGGCGCTTAAAGCGTATATGATGCCTGCCTCATGTTTTCAAAGACCAATCGACCCTTAGTGGGTGTTCCGGT